ATCAGTTTCTGCTGTGTACTCAGTCGTGTGAACAAGAGCTGCTGYAGTGGGAGAAAAAGTCAATCTGACAAAAAGGTGTCTGAACTGAGACTATTCTTGGCATGGTGAGAGTGTAGTATTGATAAAAACAGCTATAAATGCATCCACCTCAAGCTTTTCTTTTTTTATATTTTTTAGCAGAAGTGCCCAGTTTTGCCTTCGTTTAAAGGAACCATTACCTTATCAACCCTTATACAAAAAACCTCAGTCATCTGGAACCAGTTTTTGATGAAAACTGGTTCCAGATGACTTCTTATAACTTACATAAGAAGAAACATGAACCTTAGGAACAAAAAGATATGATTCACCGGGACTCCACAATGACACGAGGAGCTGAGGAGAATTCTAAATAAACTGACTGCTGCTGCTTCTCCTCCAGTCATGTTTTAATTTGACTTTTTTTTCCTTTTTATTCATGAATCCCACCATTTACACACAGTGAACTGCACTTTGCTCAAACACAAAAGATGTCTGCTAAACTGATATTCTGCAATTGCAGAACCTAAAACTGATTTAGCAGATTTTTGTTTAAAGATATAAAGATCTATTTTTGTCCTCAACATGAATTTAGAAAGTGCTCARTGATGAAATTTTGCAGCGCTGCACAGCTTGTAGCTAAAATACAGCTTAGGCATCATTATAATTTCAAAACTCCCTTCTTTCCACTAAAAATCTCATGTTTTATTTATTTTTTAAAATTGTTTTAAAACACTGCCCAGGCATCTGTTTGGTCTTCAGGGCCGTTATGTTTTTGTCCACAAACACATGCAGAAACTACATTTTCTACTCTAAAGTATTTGGAAAACGTGTATTGCTTCAGGCTTTTCTTTTAATTATTTTTCGGAGATGTTAMGATAATTGCTGAAGTTCTGCAAGAAGAATTCTGAGTTTCCTCATGCTTAATGTGGGTGTCATCGTCTGATTCTTCTCTTTATAGTTTTTCAAAGGGATTGAGACAACATGAAGATGTGCTGTTGAAAGTCCTTTGCAGTGAAGTCTAACATTGTGCAGCTGAAAAATCCATACATATCCAAAAATCCATGCCTGCAGGGCACGTCTTTTCAGATCCCCGTATGGGGTCTGCACAGGGGGGGAGCGACAGACGACAGCGATGGGTGCCAGCCATCGTCAACGAGGTGAAACCCAACACACACAGTGACAGCAGCGTTGCAAATCGCACTCTCAGGTCTCTTGTCACCACAAAATTAGATGGTTCTTCTTCTTGTGATTTTTACTGGTGGATGGCAACTGAATGGTGTGCATTACTGCCACCTGCTGAGGGTAGGTGATCACTTTGTGAAGTGTCAAATAATATAGGCAAGTCAGACACAGCTAAAATGATGTCCTTCATTTTGAAAGTTGTGCTGTCCTCACAACACGTGACAATGTGAAGCTAGACAGCCAGCGAACAAAGAATAAAGTCCCCACACAAAGCTTGCTTTCTTGTTTTTACTGAAGACTTATTGAACTTTATTTGGCTATTTACTTTTTTGTACAAACACGAAAATCTTCCAAGGTACAAGTGGGAAGAGCACATTTAGCATTATGATTTATTTTAACCGCTGTTAAGTGATTTTGTGTGATGACTATGTGTTGGACCACAATGGAAATAAGCTTTATGCTTTATTGTGTTATCCATTTGTGTTAATGTTATTGCGTATTATATGCAGTACCATTTACATGATAAATGAAATGAATGAATGAATTAGACAAACAAGAAGCGTGTACAGAAAATGGATGGATGGATGGATGTCTCAATACGTCAATGATTGTATATTACCGCAAGAGCGCTCACTCCTAATGTGCTGCATGTAAAACGATATGCCCAAGAGTGTGATGTGTCACTCTGATCAGAATTTAAAAACCAAACATCTTTTAAGTTACCTTGAATTTATTTAAACTAGTTATAACTTTATACTTCTGTCTTTTAACAAAATGCAGCACAAACGTGGTTGCTGACTACAGTGTGTAGCAGACTCTCTGCTCATTGGTCAGTCAACAAAACCCTTGCTGATTGATTGTAGTGCCTTGCGACCGCAACAAAAGTTGAATTATTTTTCAACTTTCGAGTATCTCAGTGGGGACCTTAATTCTCTGCATTTTCCCATCACATGAGAGCACACATGTGGCTGCTATTTTGACACACCTAGGAGCAGCTAAGGCTCTTGCTCAAGGGTCCAGAGTCGGGGCAAATGAGGGTTTCCCAGCCACATTTTGTTGTCAGTCTGGAGATTTGAACTGGTGACCTTCACTAGCCTCTGCACCACCACTCCCCCTTTTAACACATTTTGCAGATAAAAGCTTGGCTGGTCTCTCAACTCTGACATAATTGGACAAGCTCAACTATCTCTAAGTTCATACATGGAGCACATACACTCACCGGCCACTTTATTAGGTACACCTGTCCAACTGCTCGTTAACACTTAATTTCTAATCAGCCAATCACATGGCGGCAACTCAGTGCATTTAGGCATGTAGACATGGTCAAGACAATCTCCTGCAGTTCAAACCGAGCGTCAGTATGGGGAAGAAAGGTGATTTGAGTGCCTTTGAACGTGGCATGGTTGTTGGTGCCAGAAGGGCTGGTCTGAGTATTTCAGAAACTGCTGATCTACTGGGATTTTCACGCACAACCATCTCTAGGGTTTACAGAGAATGGTCCGAAAAAGAAAAAACATCCAGTGAGCGGCAGTCCTGTGGRCGGAAATGCCTTGTTGATGCCAGAGGTCAGAGGAGAATGGGCAGACTGGTTCGAGCTGATAGAAAGGCAACAGTGACTCAAATAACCACCCGTTACAACCRAGGTAGGCAGAAGAGCATCTCTGAACGCACAGTACGTCGAACTTTGAGGCAGATGGGCTTCAGCAGCAGAAGACCGCACCGGGTGCCACTCCTTTCAGCTAAGAACAGGAAACTGAGGCTACAATTTGCACAAGCTCATCGAAACTGGACAAGAGAAGATTGGAAAAACGTTGCCTGGTCTGATGAGTCTCGATTTCTGCTGCGACATTCGGATGGTAGGGTCAGAATTTGGCGTCAACAACATGAAAGCATGGATCCATCCTGCCTTGYATCAACGGTTCAGGCTGGTGGTGGTGGTGTCATGGTGTGGGGAATCTTTTCTTGGCACTCTTTGGGCCCCTTGGTACCAATTGAGCATCGTTGCAACGCCACAGCCTACCTGAGTATTGTTGCTGACCATGTCCATCCCTTTATGACCACAATGTACCCAACATCTGATGGCTACTTTCAGCAGGATAATGCGCCATGTCATAAAGCTGGAATCATCTCAGACTGGTTTCTTGAACATGACAATGAGTTCACTGYACTCAAATGGCCTCCACAGTCACCAGATCTCAATCCAATAGAGCATCTTTGGGATGTGGTGGAACGGGAGATTCGCATCATGGATGTGCAGCCGACAAATCTGCGGCAACTGTGTGATGCCATCATGTCAATATGGACCAAAATCTCTGAGGAATGCTTCCAGCACCTTGTTGAATCTATGCCACGAAGAATTGAGGCAGTTCTGAAGGCAAAAGGGGGTCCAACCCGTTACTGGCGTGGTSTACCTAATAAAGTGGCCGGTGAGTGTACATATTCAAAAAAACAAACTTAAATCAGTAATTTGGTTCACTGTTGCATGTGTTTCTGATTTTTTTTGTTATTTCCGTAAATATTTTTTTTCTGTTTTGATATAACTACTTAAAGTTTTGTCCAAAATTGTATTTCTACTGTTAACCACTGCTTCCTCTACACAATATGTTGTAAATTTCTACACTAACATTAAAAGCACAAACAAGTGGAGGAAAACATAAAAGATCTAGAGAAAACTGTAATGTTCGGCTTCCTCGTGCAGTGATTTTAGGTTGAAAGGAGAGGTAACACCTACTGAAGTGATTTTTACAAGCGTCACAAGAACAATCAAAATGATTTTCTTTCTTTCACTATGGGGGAAAAATGTTTTTTCAAAGATTATCTTAGGCAAGCGCTACAAAACATCATAGCTCACCTGCAGTCTGAGCAGGGTTGATTCCTATTCCATCTGCAAAAAAACATAAAACAAAACCATCAGGCAGTTCCATCCAAACTTAGTGCAACAACAAACTTTAATTATGATTTATCATATTACAGCCATTTTCACAAAAACCATAAAACAACATACTGTTTCTTATTAAACTTACCGTTTGTTATTATCGCACTAGTAGCTGATGGCACTTTGAACTGTAAAAAAAGTGAAAAGGTTTTAAATTTCACTAATAATAATAATAATAATAATAATAATAATAATAATATTATTATTATTGTTATTATTATTATTATTATAATACAGATGTTATTGTTTTATAAACCTCTGTAGCAGAATATTTAGGCTCATCAGTCAGGGGACATGTTATTCACATTCATTTTGTTTTGTCTGAAGTCACAAAGAAAAAATAGGTTCTTAGCACTGAAAATCTCTGACTTTGTTAGTGAGGTTGGACGGGTTATTTAGACAAAAGGCAGTTAAAATGTCCTCACAACCAAATTGTGCAATAAAAACAACAGAACATTTCAGTTTAGAGCATTTTCAGCGTTTTTCTCTCCCAAACTTTCACACTTGTCAAACACAAAAATCTGGCTTCCACACTCAAACGCTACGGAGGACGCTCGAGGGGACAATTACACTTGAATTTGTGGAAGAAAATCACTCCGCGCGGTCAGAATACGTGCCCTACTTCAGCGTTCGAGACAAGAAGATGCRAGCTGGTGGGATTTGCAGGAGAAGGATGAAAGGAGCAGGCTGCCACCAGGGAGATAAGGTTACTCAAGTACTGCTCATAAAAGCAACACACAGCTCAGATTAAAAGTCGTGTCTGAACTAACTTGTCTCTAAACACACAGGGCTAATAATGAATAAAACTGAATTGCTTAATTATRTTAAAATGTAGGAGCAACTTATATCTGACAAAGCAGTATTCATTGAAGCGACTCGACATAAAACAATTAACTTTTAAACAATTTTCTTTTATCATCTCTCCGTTGCTCTCGGGGGGCCGAGTCGGYTGTACGTATAAAGTAAAAGACAACCACTGTGAAATAATGTCCCAGCACTATGCTGGTTTCTAACAGAAACAAATTAACACCCTGCCAGCACATTGTGAAAACAGCACGTCGGCACCAACACAAGCAGCTTCAGCCTCCACCAGAAATGGTCCCGTCTCAGCACGGCTGCATGTTTGCTTACACAAAATGAAAAATAGGATTAAAAGAAACTAAACTCTGACTGGGGTACGAGAAAAAAAAATACAACATGCAACACTTGTTAGATAAAATAAAAGCACATATCAAGAATAAGTCAAATAGTTGACTGAACTTCATTCAGAAGAAAATCATTTCTAACAGGTCAGGCAGAGACATTTTCCTGAAAACTAGAGGAGAAGCCATTTTCCTAGTCTGCCATTGTTTTTGACTCAAGCACATTTATTCGTGWCCAATTTGCATCAATTACAAGCAGCTACAGGTGGGTTTTAGGTGTGAAGAAAAATTAGAATCTGCACCAACACTCAGCCATTATGCCACTGCAATTACTTCCATCAGATTTAGAGAATACTTTAGAATAGAAATGAAGGACCAACGAATGACAACAAAATTTTTTTAAAGGGGACATATCATGCAAAATCCACCTTTTTAGCCATAATACATTTTGTTATGAACTTGGGGTCTCTAGGAGTGCAGAAAAACTGAATTTAGTCTCTCTCGGTGCTGCAGAGTTCAGTTTTTCTATTTTCTATGACTTTTTTGGAATAATTGCATTACATTTAATTGATACGTAAGAAACAATGTTTCTGTTCTCCTATATAGTCGTAAACCCCTCTATCAAACTGGAATGGAAGCTGGAGGGGGGCATGGTGTGAAGCATCTCATTTGGATTTAAAGAGACAGCCTCTAAACGAGTTGATGGGGGACACACTTCAGAAAAAGGGTGAGAAAGGGGCTTGTGGAGTTACAACGAGGAGCATTGCAGTTCCACTTTATATAGACGCCAAATACATAATGAAATGGAAAAAATTAAAAGCATATGTCTCCTTTAGTGAAAAAAAGATGTTATCTGTATTCTCAGTGTGTGATTGCTTGAAACTAGCACAACACATATACGATTGATCCGATCACCAGGTTTTCAGGTTTTCCTTTTCTAACTTTCACATCTACTCGATGGCTTTACCAGTTAAACTTCAAACTTACCTCCTCAGCTGCAAACTTCAAAACTGCTGTGAACGGCGTGCTTTCTGGGACACTAAATCTGCAACAACAAAAAAGAAATAATTAAACAAAAAAAAATGAAATCCGAGATTTATTTACATTGTTTTCATCAAATTATAAAGAGAAATTCGTGGAAGTAGTTGTTTTTAAATTGGGTAAATGCTTGCATCAGAGTTTGAGACACGCAACCCCACATTACCACTTCATTAAAGATGATGAGAACAAGTAAAGGAAAACAATGTAACATTACAACACAAGGCCTTTTATGGAACAGTTAAACACAATMCACTTTGACTTGGATCCTTCTAACACACATCTCACAGCGCTTCAGTTTTCAGCGGGGAGAGGAGACCTCCCAAAGACAAATAACAAAACAGTGCAACAGACATGCCTCAGGGTTCAAAAGGCTAAAGATGTAATGGACAAGTAATGTAATGCAGACAGACRCTGCTGGAAGGGAACAGGAACAGCTGGTAGAAGCAGCGCAGCAGGAAGAATGTGAAAAAAGGGCAACCTATGAACTAGTAGGGCATAACCAGTGGGAAAAAAATAAACTGATAAAAACTGTACATGCTTACAGCATATTATCTAAGCATAAATTGAAAGGTATTTTTAAATTGAGTATTTTAAAAACGGCTCACKGAGTGTTCAAATTCAGTCCTTTTACAGAGTAATAAAATACTTCATCAGTATTGTCCTCCTGTTCATCCTAACCTCTGCAGCGGCGCCTCCTCTGACCTCATTTGGTAAATGACTTGCAGTCAAAACAAGAGTGCCTCCATATTTTATGTTTTATTAGTTTTTTTGCTCACCTACGTCTAAAGTAGACAATTTTTCTGAAGGGTAATTAGTAAAAGAATAAAAAAGGTAGTAACAAGAGGCTATTAGTGAGTCGGACTCTCCTCATTGATGTTTGTGTCGAACCTGTAACCACTTGTTGAAAAAAAAATAACTAAATAGATAGATAAATAACAACAACATTAATATATATATATATATATATATATATATATATATATATATATATATATATATATATATTGGGGGGGTCAAGAGTTGCTACTGTGCAACATTAGGCAACCAGATGTACATTTAACTTTGTCTTTTTATGTTTCATTACAAGAAACACTAATGAATAGTAATTATACAAGCATCGTGCTGTGCATGTTTTTTAATGTCCAAAAATAAAAGCCTTACATGATTAACCTTTGTGCTGCTTAGATATCAAACTACAAAACCACTATTACAAACTGCCGTCGTACGTCATTCATTCAAATGGAACCAGTTATTTGAAAATGTATTTTGATGGGTGTTTGTACACACACGTTTATCTTTGTCTTTTTTTCCAAAAAATGTTAAAACCTTGATGTTTTTTTCCCCACACAGCCTCGTTTGAAAGTGAATGAGGCAACAAACACAAAAACAATGTTCGTTCCACAAACACAGATGGTGGCGTTTTTTTAGGTTGAGAACAAAATTGAATACAGCAGTGAATAGTTACATATGGGACTATATTTAAATCAAACATGACTATTAGGCAAATAAATTAGCATGCTTGTATGTTTTTGTCTTAGAATAATAGCTTATTTCCCCTGCATATTTTTGAGTACTTATTGTATATCTTTTTTACTCAGAGAAACAATTTTTGGACAGCCATTATTTTTGGCTATGATCAGACCAACCTACCTACCTTTTTCCTCTTTCTTTTTTCTTTCTTTCTGAATATTGTTAAAAGGCATAAAAACAATATTTATTTTAGCACCAACAAGGTWCCAAATATCTATTCACCAAAAAAAGTGACATGGATCAATTTTCTTGTCAGATTTAGGACATTACTTGTACTGTAGACTGGTTTTAGCCTAAAWGTCTGAGGAAAAGCTTGAGAAAGAGACCACTTCAAATAATTAAATGGCTCACTGAGAGCAAAATACAGAAATGAGGATCTTCTCAAGTCTCCACCACAGTGATTTGTTAAAAGGATGCTGTGATTCAACATGTGCCACTTTCTTAGGCAAACTACTTCATAAGTGACATTCTTTTCATTTAAATGCATGCAAATGGTAGGCTGTCAAGTCAGAAATATTCATAAGCATGAATACTGCCACTCAATGTAAAATGGAAATCATTTTAGCCAACCAAGAACTCCCAATTCAAGTCTCTGAATAACACATACACACTGACAGATGTACCAGTTAAATAATTCAGCTCATATCTACACGACAGGCCAAATAAATAAAAAARTAGTAGGTATTATATCGAAATATGTTGCTCGGAAGACTGGATAAAACGCTACAGCTGTGAACGCTGAGCTGTCAGTACTCACACTTTGTACGGCAGCCTGGGGTCCGACGTCAGCGTGATTTTAAACGTAACTTTAGACCTAATGAAGAGGACGAGATTAAGTTATAAACATACAGATGTGAGAGATTAGATACAAAATTATGTCCATTGAAAATATGTCTTAAAATTATACAAAACTTACATTTTTAAGGCGAGGCGACTCCGGTCAAAATCTRTTTACCTAAACCCGGAAGTCTGAAGGACCCACAGAGACACGTCATYCATGTTTTAATGACAGATATTTCTTTATTTTTATTGTTTTCAACCAAAACAATGACAGGAATATTTTATTTTTTATTATCTTGTCATATTTTCCGTAAATAATGTCAAAAAAGCTAATGTAAATGTATTTTTCTCTTATTTTACCTGACAGGCATTCAAAAAGAACAGCTAACAAATACCG